AAAACGGCAATAATACACTGCCAATATATCTAAGGGAAGTAACGTAAAGTAATTAAAAATTCACTTTACATTTCATACTTTTTTAAGGAAGTAACGTATAATTTGACAAGTATAATTTTCTTACAGGTTTAAATATTTGTTATGATTTTTGATATTAATCAATCAATCCATTACCTGATTAAGTAAGTGATTATAATATGAGCTTAATTCCTTAATACAACAGATGTAATCTTCGCATTAGCGTTTCTGCTAAGCTGAATTTCTTTTTTATTCACGAAATTTATGATAAAAGATTAGTAATCGAGTATAATTATTAAAATAATTAAGCATTTATTAATTAAAACATTTTAACTTTAGCTTAAAATTTAAAACTATTTAAATTTATTGCATCTTTTTTGATAACTGAAAAAATAATCAACAGAATGATATATTATTTTTCAAGTTAGTTTGTCTTTATTCTCGTAATGTAGTGTTTTAAATGTTTCCTATGTTATCTACCTAAACAATATTTCGTTGTTATAAACAATATAAATATAAAATATATATATAATCCTTAATTGAAATATCTTATAATCCCCGTTATTAATTAAACAATTAAATAAAATCATTAAATATTAGTTCAGATGAATTTAGTAGACTTTACCATCAGTCCATGTTACAGAAATACACTTTAAAAAATTCATCACCAATTCTTTATCTCATAAATTGAATCTTTTGGTCTATTTAGCGAAGATCATATTTTTTTATATTCTTGAATGAAATATTGTAGATATTTAGTGTACGCAAATAAACTATATGAAATTATAAGGAATATTTTATATACGAAATGAGCTTAATCATTTTTTTAGTTAAGGTCAGAAACACAATTGTCCATCTGATTCGATAATCAGGCTTTATATTCGGAATTTTTTTCGTGAAGATATTCTGTCGGAATAGTAATATCCTTTTATTCTTTATAACTATAATAAATGATATCCGTAGTAATCTCCCATTTGGAAAGTGAATTAAATAGGAATCATAAGTTTTTGAAAAACTTCGATATTGTTTTCTTCATAATTTGTACCAATTTCTTTTTTAAAAGAATTAAATAGAAATGTGCTTTACAAAGTATCTTTATATTCACAAATAAGTGATCTTTTTCTCTTCCGCAACTGGATAAAGATTTCGTCATTTCGAAATTTAGTTTTGTGTAAATTTTAAATAATTGGACTACCCTGTAAAAAAAAAATGTCCGGAAATTGTAGCTAAAAACATCCGGAAAATGTCCGTGTGTCCGGGAAACGTCCAGAAAATTGCAATATTCCGGACACTTTCTGGACGCTGGGTCTGAACCCTTCTAGACATTTTCTGGACATTTTCTGGAAAATGGAAATTTTCCAACGTCCGGAATATTGCAATATTCCGGACATATTTCAGACAAATAAACATTTTCCGGACGTTTTTAGCTACAATTTCCGGACATTCTTTTTTTATAGGGCTAATATCTGTCCAGATTAACATCCGTTCATAGTTGACACCTCTACGCGGAATTACATCGCTACTAGTATCTGTTATATAGGTATTATCTGCTGAGTCTTATTATTATTTGATCTTTAATATTTTTTTTTGTGGGAGTGCGGTAGTCTTTTCATTTAATTATTCACAGATTTTTAATTTATATGTAATAAATGCAATTTTTTTGGAAAATATCATTTATATTTTATTATATAAAAATATGAACAGTTTAATATTTTACATAGTTGAAAATAAAATGTTTATTTTGTATCAATAATATCAAAATATACAATTCACCAACCTGATACATATATTAATTCTGGTCTTAATTTTCATGTTTTTCCTTTCTTTCCAATTCTTTATTAATCCAATTTTTAATCGCTGTTAATGTTTTATCACATTTAGGTATATCAATATTATTATACATACGAGATACATTGATTGATTAAAACCAATATCATCAAGTGAAATATCTCTTATTGACTTGAAACATCAAAGGTTTTCCTATAATCTAAAATTATTTAAATTCTTTAAGTATCTTTGATTCTTAATTTGCTTGTAAAAACTCGTGTTCATTTAATTTATTTAAGCTTTATTTGATTTATAAACAATGGATAAAATCGTTAAATTTGTTATTTTAACATGCTTCAAAATATTAAAAAAAGTTAATTTGTCATTTCATTTCGTCATATCTTCCTAAAATTCCCAAAATATCATTATGTTTTCTCACGATCTATCTTGAGCGATTTAATTATCAAATTACTTGCATTAATAATAGTTTAACAAAAAAAATTCAATTGAAAAAAAAAATTATTATTTTTTAATCGTCTTGTTACGCAGTAAAATGTTGCGCAGCAATCATGTGATATAACTGGACCCGTGATGCCGATCAATGTAGCAAATGTTGAATATGTTTGACATGTTCGATATGTTGCATATGTCCGATATGTAGAATATATAGAATATATGGAACATGTAGCATATATGAGATATATAGAACATGTAGCATATATGGGATATATAGAACATGTAGTATATATGGAATATATAGAACATATAGCATATATAGGATATATAGCATATGTAGCATATGTTAAACATTTTTAGTTTGGAAATTTATGTATATATAGACCTGTAATTAGACCTGTAATTAAAGAATTCAAGATAGGAACATGTGTGAAGAATTTAATTAATAAAATGTTTATCCTTTAATATACACCTTAATTTTAAGTTTGGTTTTATATGGTTAATCTGCCTTCCCTTATTTGTGTCTGATTGTATGCGCCAGTGTGAAGCGATACTCTATTCACATCTGATTGGATTGATTTTAACATATACGTTGATCCTTAAAATTACCTTCTGCTTTATTAAATATAAACATTTTTTAATGTATAGCTTATTTTTAAGCTTATAAGAACTGACCTATAACAGTCTCTTATTACATATTTTTATGGAATATTTGATAAAAATTTATAGTTGATTTATTGTTTAACACGTTATAGTTAAAAAGGTAAATTTTTGAAGTGTAGAATTCCGAAGAATTCGGAATATTCTTTCGAAAAAACACATGATTATGGTTTAAGCACAAGCCACAGATCAGCCTAAAAGAGTAATTCTTTAGTATTACATTATAATACTAAATTTTTCTATTTAAACAAATTCATTGGTCCCAGTGCGAAGCAACGGGTTACTGCTAGTAATATAATAAAAAAATTCGTTTACTCGATCGGCAAGTCATGTTGTACATCTAATCCAATTCTGGTTAATGAAATTTTTATCGGAATTTTTCTTTTTTCCTTTTCTTTCGAACCAATCTGAATTTTTTCGGTTCCCTTTGTTTTTTTTTCTTGAACAGATCTTTTGCTTTCGGTTCTTTCTTTTTTTCAAATTTCCACTTTTCTCTTTCGAAACACCTTTTTCATTTCTTTTTTCATTTCTTTTTTTAAAAATTTTTCGTTTTTTTTTATTTTTCGGTTTTTTTTTCCAAACCGAAAAACCATTATTGTTTTTTTTATTAAATAATCTTATTGTTTCGGTCTTTCAAGACCGATTTTTTTTTATATTATTTTTTTCTATTATTAATTTTTTTTGAATTTTTTTTTCGGTGGTTTTGGACCTTTTTTTTCGGTACTTATTTTTTTCGTTTAAACCCGATTTCTTTCTTTTTCTTTTTCAATTTTTTTTTTCAATTTTATTTTTCAATTTTTATTTTTTTTCCTGTTTTCTTCCGGTTGACTTTTTCTCCAATCCGAAATTTCCCCCCTTTTCTTTTTCAGTTTGGCTTTTTTTCAAAGAGAATTTTTTTTTCCGAATGCATTCTTTCACCATTTAGGTTTGGGTCGATGCTGTAGTGCCACGGCGATTACCTTTTTTATAATTATGTTTTTAATAATTTTAGTATTAGAAGAGTAATGATTTACAACAAAAACTTTTATACAATTCCCGATTCTTATTAATAATAATAATAATATTTTTTAGGCTGTATGTAGCTAGATCGTTATAATTAATATTTCTGAGAAATTTTTTTTTTTATGACAATAGAATTTCATATTAATTAGTGATAATTTTTTCTATAATAATAGATTACTATAATTAATTTCTTTGAGATATAATAACAATATATTTTTTTCAGCAGCAAATGTAATTTTTTTTAATGCTACAATGAAATTTTTTTAAGATAAAAAAAATGATTTTTTTGTAACAATGTAATAAACTACTTATACAAAATTATCTTTGTAAATGTATAAATAAATCATAAATTTCACAGTACTGCAACATTTGTTTCGTGTTAAACAAAATACTTGCACACAATTCATTGTTATTTATATAATCATATAAATTGTGTAATTTATTATATTTATTTCCTACTAATACCATCATAATAATAGTAAAAAACTAGACCTATTCACACTGCATAGCAGATAAAATATAAGTGTGTTTATGTGTTCCCTGTAAAAAATCTGATCCGTGTTTTATCTTTCCATGTTTTTTCCGTGAATGTATCATTTTCATGGAATTAATAACCTTAAATCATGGAAATTTTCATCCCGCTAACACGGATATCCGTGAATGTATCATTTTCACAGAATTTTTACGGAAGACATGGAGAAATAATGGAAATATTCGGATAAAAATCTTTTATAGGGGTTACGCCTAGTTTATATTTATTTTATTTCAAAGAGAGGAGTAACCAATGACAATGAAAACATAATAGAAGTAAACAACTACAAGTAGTGAATAACTAATCTATTAGGGTAATGTGGTTATTAATCCCTTCTAACGAAAGGACCTCACCCTCCGGAGAAAGATTTAGGGCGTCCCCCGAGAATGCCCCAGGGACCCCAAATCTACTCTCTAACCTCTCCCCATTTCTGGGGATAATGCCTTGATCTGCTAATGCTACCACAATCTTCACATTACCACAAGGTTAGAGTCGACCGCAATGTGCTCACAGCTCCGTCAAATTAATAGGCCACCATATGGTGGTTGGTAGTCCCGCCCCACCATTATAACCCCGAAGGGCCACCCGGGTACCAAGATGCTATAGAACCTTTATGAACCATTTGGCAACAGTCCCCCATCACACTCTGACAAACTTCGTGGCAGAGCAATGGTTTTGACCTGAGTTCAGTGACCATTTCTAGGACTCGCCATACCAGTCTACCAATGATCGCATCTACCACCTCACCATCGGTAGCATCAGTAGGAATCATTTCAGCTCTTATGGGTACAGGATCTTCAACGCAGTTGGTAGCTGCGCATGCAGTAATTATGCCTAGTTTATATAAAATTTTCATATAAATTTTTATTTTTATTTTTATTTTTATTTTTAAATTCACGTGAACTAGATTACAGAAAGTTAGACAAGAACAAAAGATAAAACAAAAGTCAGACGCTAACTAATACTATGCTATAATCAAACCGCCCGAGGACGGCGCCACTCTGGTAAAATAAACGAAACATGGGTGGGTCCCAAAAATGACGCCAAACCCTGAAGAACAATCTATATATAAGGAGAATAATAAAGATCCGTATTTTTCTTTCAGCCGAAGCTGCCACCTGTAAATACTGTCATAGGTGGAGTGGTTCACACTATTCATATTGTTGTAAAAAAATATATATATAATTTATATATATGAAGATAATTATGATGTAGCATAAACAAAAAAACTATGATGAGTAAGCTACTGTTAGGTAAAAAGATGTAAAAAAAAGAAATAAAGGGGTGAATATAATGAAGAGTCATAAATGACGTGAGTGATTATTAAATCCACTCATAATTTAGATTATTTGTCGTCTGTTATAGGACTAACCATCGAGAAAGACGTAGATGCTCTTTTCTGAGGTAGTGACAAAGGGTGAGATGTCTTGGTGCGCTTGACATTTGTTAATAAAGTTTGAGAATCTCTTTTGATGACCAGGGGAAGCATCATCCTCATCCGAATCTACCAACATAGGTACAGAGCACGCACCTGGAGGAGGAGTAGTGGGAGGTGTTGTACTTGGACTAGGCGTAGCCGTGTCTGAAATAATGTGTGGTGATCTAATGTAATATAGAAAATTTTTGTAATCCGTAAGATACTTCTTCGGTGCTAACATTATCGTAGCCGGTATGTGAATAGGTTCAGGCGGTCTTTTTTTATTGATAATAGAATCTAAACGTGATCGTAATTGACCAGAACTATATACTATAGGTTCATCTAAATACCCATCTGAAATAGGTGGCGGAGGGTGAGGATAGGGTTTAAAAATATTAAAACCATTTCGCCATACGTGTTTTTGATGATGTACACTTTTTTGACAGTACTGTTTTTTGTCAAGAAGAAATTTGAAGCGGGTGGCACACAGCCGTTGATGATATTTAGTGTCTGTTCTAAGACTTTTATCATAATTGAAGATACGACGATAAGCTCTGTCGAATCAGCTTTTTTACCTGGTGTAAGTTCGCGTATTTGTACTGTTAATATGGTTAAAATTTTCTAAACGTTTATTATACATAAACTGCCAGCCATCTTTGTCATTCGATTTGTGCTTGGTGTTCACGTAACGAGAAGTATACGTGATTCCTAATCTATTAGAATAGATAGTTTTAGTTTCCTTAGATTTCCAACGTTGATGAATCAAATTACTGTGAATTTGAAACGGAGAGAGGATCGAAGCAGCAGTTGCTTTGCTGTGGGTTTTAAGGTGGTCGAACCTCATGAGGTGGTGTTGGTGTGAAACACAAGCGCGTCTGTTGAATGAGAGCACCATGGGTGAAGGCGATTTACAAAGTTTTAAAACTCCTGGGTTTTTTATACAGTCAATGATATGATTACATGGTATATAAATACCAAAATAAAAACGATAACATTTATAAGAAAAATTAAAGAAAGTCTTCGTGATATGATTTCGTTCTCGTTCTTGAAAAGCACGTGACTTAATAAATGTGATTCGTTCTAATAATTTTTTCCTAATTAAAGGGAAGTATTTGTGTTGTATCCGTTTAGGGATAACTGATTGGTGTGAAAAAAAATGTCTGAGCATGATACTGATTTGGTATTTGTTGTTTGGTATCAGGATCGTGGAGCTGTAACTAACTGCGTTAGTTTTCATGTGATAATCATTAGTGTGTATTATAAGTCGATTTTCATTGGTGCTGGCAAAAGGATCTACGAGTTCGAAAAGGAAACTTTTAGATCGTCTGATTTCATAAATCTTGTTGTATCCTGCCCTATTTGGGCGGAGCACGTGAAATTTGGAAAAATAAACTTCCAAAGGATATTCTTGTTGTTGCTGTGAAGCAGAGGAGGACGACATGGTAAAAAAGTCGTGAGGAAAAAAAAAAAAAAGGAGAAAAAAAAAAAGAAAAAGTGTAGAAGAAACTCCACTCTGAGGGCAAAAGGTGAGTAAGGAAGAGGACTTTCCGTCTAAGGCCAGGGTACAGGGCCTCTCTCTTCTACCGCTTTCAGCGGTTAAAAATTGTAAGTGTGAGAATAAAAATTTATGTTTACTGCGGAATTCTATGAAAATTGACGGAAAGAGGAGAGAGTTTTTTTTGTTTTTTTCTAAATTTTCATATAAATTTATGTAAGTTTAAAAATATTTATATGATCAACGTTTTATCACGTGATTATTAATAATATGGATTAGGTACTAATTAAAAACTTGTACTACATTACTCAACAGAAATCCTTAATTATAAAGATTTAAAAAGTTTTCACATTATGGTATAGTTCCCGTTCTTGATTTCTTCATTTATATTTATATTTTACTTACTGTTATTTCATAGCTCAATATCGAGCTCCTTACGAACGACCACCATTTACTACACCAGGCGGTCCTCTTACCTATGGACAAACCTCGCGGGTGGCTATACTTCTGGTACTCCCACACAACGTACAGCCTATATGGCTCCTAGACCAGGTTATGGTATACCTTTGGGTGGCATATCACTAATGGCAGCTCCAGATTCAGAAGTAGAAAAATTTATTGGAGGGATATCACCGGGAGTAGTAACTGATGATTGGATGGAAAAAATTCTCAAGACAGTAATCAATTATTTAATTTTTTGGTGGGCAAATAAATGCTATATATCGATACTTGTCAACAAGTTGACGATGATTTTCCAATCGAAGGGACGGAGATTTTAATGAACACTATATTATCAAATTGGATTCTTATGAACCTTGGAGCTTTAAAAGAAGGCGTAAATATTTGGAGGTGCGATTAAGAAAAAACTTTTGTATAATTTTCTTACGACCTAAAACGCATATTATTTTGGATTCTAAATTTTTCCTCCAGATAGCTTTCGAATTTATCTTAGTCTTGAAAGCTTTAAACATCTTCAGGTGAGATATTATCAAATACTTTAGCTGATAATTCATTTTTGTTTTTTTTTTTTGATTTTCTTATCTGGCGATTGCAAAGACTTGTGGTACATTAAAATCTTGGAAACAAGTTAAAGACCAATTCAGAAATCCAAAGGGTTTTGGATTTGCGGAATATGCTGATGCTGATAGTGTACTGCATGTCTTGCGTGTACTTGGTGGCGAAGGTTCGGGTGATGATAAAAAAGATAAGGGAATTAGTTGTTCTTCCTGCTTTGGAGGAAGGTGCTAATGGCAAAAATTAATAGTATGCAATCATTCCTTGATAAATTACTTTTTGATCTTAATTCTTCATCTAAATATCATTTTATCAAAGCCGATGAGAATACAAGAAAATATCTTGATCAATATGAGGCTTCAAGAACGGTGGTCTGTATTAAATTATAGAAATAATTTTTTTCTTTGAGCATGATACAGAGTTAGATAAAATGTCTTGTTATGAGTTATAATCGTTGTTGAAACGTGACTAAGCCACAGGATAGAAGAGATCTGTCACCTTCAATAAATTCGCAGCATGAAAATAAATTAGCTCACCAGCTACAGAAATAAAAACAGAACATGAAGAAAAGGATGATGACATATATTTACCGCTGAACTTCCTCCAGATCAAAAGGATGTTATTTACCGAGAGGTAGCATCCTTTCGACGTGCTGCAGCAAAAAAACGAGAGCGTCAGAGAGAAGAGGAAGAACGAGCAAATCGTAGAGCTAAAGCTGAAAAAGAAAGGGAACGTTCACATGGAAAGGGAAAATAGAGAGAGAGAAAGTGAGAGAGAAAGAGAGCGGGATTGCGATAGAGGTAGAGATCAAGATCGGCAAGCAAGAGAATCAAGACGCGAATCTTATATTTTAGACGATGAAGAAGAGGAACAACGCAGACAAGCTAAAAGAAAAACTGAAATGGAAATGGCTTTTAAAGAGGTACAATATTAAAAATTATATAAAATTTTGTTTTTGGATTATATATTACTGATTTTAATAATAATTATCTTATATTAGAGAGAAATACGATGCCAACATCATAGAGAAGAAACATGGCAACAAATCGTGAATGTGAAGCAGAACAAGATTTAGATATTAGAGAAAAACAAATTCGAGATCGGGAAATAATGGCGAGAAAGTTAGCGGAATGGCGGGGACGATGACATTGAAGCTGATAGAGGTCAAGAAGAATATTACAAAGACAGGAGGTATATATCACATTCATCTTGTAATCAAATTTAACGGAAAAATTATGAATTTTAACTTTTTTTATAATTTATGTAGTTCGGCGGTGGTCCCATCGAAAACAGTTCAGAGCACGTGAATTGGCCATGGATGAGGCAGATAGGTTGCGAGAACAGCAAGAAATTGAGCTTGAGAAACATCGACTACAGACGCTTGAAAGCAGCGTGAAGAAGCTATAGAAGCAGAATTAAATAACGAAAAAGAAATTCTAACGCTTGTCACAATGGTGCTTCACAAAATAACAGCGATAAACCAAAACTAACTCTTAATCTTGCATCAAAACGTCGCGCTGCATTAATGACCCAGCTGAAGACGGATGAGGATTTTGACGATGAAGAAGGTATTGAATCAAAACGTAAACGTCGAATTTTAGTTCCTAGTATAGAATATAGGACGATGAAAACAAAACAGAAGAAAAAGAAAATTAAAGAATTAGTGACAACTATACCAACGGATAAAGAAGGACATTGAAATTGGAATGAATGTTAAATGGAAGGAATTAGGTGAGGTAGTTTCATATGTGGTTCGTAATTTTCTTCCTTTTTTTTAAAAAAAAATTGGTTTTAGTTTTTATTAACATAAATAATAATTATTTCACAATAGAATATTCTTAGCAAAAGGTTACAGCCATTTGTAAGTAAAAAAAATTGTTAAATATCTCGGCGTACAAGAAGATGAATTAGTCTCTTTTATTATTGATCACTTACGTAATAAAAAGCCAGCTGAAGACTTAACCAAAGAAATGATGATGGTATGTTGATTACTACTTGCACTGAATATCAAAGAGTAATTAACAAGCCAAATCATTGATTTTTATATCCTTTGATTTATATACAGACTTTGCTAGATGAGGAATATGAGCTATTTATGAAGAAGTCATGGATGTATGTCAATTTTTGAAACAGAAAGTAAGACAAGAAAAATATAAAATAAAGATACAGCTTTTGAAAGGTTTCTAGATGATTTGAAGTAATTCGAGGCAGTGGCATATAACACGTAGCCAGAGTTTTTTAATTATATATATTGTCTATCGGATTCTTTTAATTAAAATGTGATATTTAAAAATTAAAAATTAAATATAAAAATCAATGGCAAATTGTTAAAATAATTACTTAAGAGATCTATTTATTTATTTATTTATTTTATCCTATCATTTTAATGTTATCTTTGTTATCATTTCTTAATATCCCATAGTAAATTATGTAAAGTTATAATGCGAAAAATCTGAAGAACAATAATTACCTTACAAGCTTATCATCAATATCGTAATAAACTCAAATATTACATTAACTATACTAGTAATCCGGTCAAAATTCACTTTATATTTTAATTAAAATTCGTTGTTATCATGTTTAGATAATTTAGATAATTTTTCGATAAGTTACTTTGTCGAAATATTTCACATATATTTTAGCAGAAATAACATACTGAACCTTCATTATTACTTTTATTGGCGTGGTTATGCATTTTACCGATATCTTTCTCATATGAAATGCAAAGCACGTGCCAAGACGTTATATTCGAGAAATTTGGAACTGAATATAAAGTCGAAAAACGTTTATTATTCGTTATGTTTTTATTAAAAAATATGGTAGAGTATATACATGATCTGTAGTATTCGATAACCGCAGTAATTACAGTGATATTGCTAATTTCATAAAGCACTCGAGAGATTTCTATAAACTATAAGATGTTTCAAAGAAATAATTCATTGATTTTTTATTTTATCGCCATAAATCAAAATTTTCGGTAAGATCTTTTTCTCTGCTTCTGCTTTAATTTTCAACATTGGACCTTATTGATCTTATAGAAGCAGCAGATAAATGTCCACGTTTAATAAATTCTTTAACTTTATCGCGTCGATGACTCCATCTTAATAACGCGTGATATGATCTTGTAATTAGTTTATTTCCTATAACTAACCCACCAGATGCAAGCGCAAGAGTTGGAATAAGATCATACGTTATAACACTATTGTAATATAGCCACTGGATAATGAATTGAGGTACATCTTCAATGAAGATGCTTATGATACTACCCCAAAGCATTATTTTTTGTGATATATTAGTCAAAGGAGCTGAAAATATTTTAAGACCAAATAAATCCGATGAGAAAGTATTTAATATTTGTATGTCAATGGCTGATAATAATGTGCAAATTGATGATAGTGTCAGAGACTTTGAAACCCATTTAGAGAATGATGGATTTGTTGCCATTTCAGATACAAAAATATTTATGGCTAATAAAATATTAATTACAATAGGTAAAATAAAGAATATTTTACTAAATAATAATAAATAAGAAAATTAGTAATCAGTCAAATTAACCTTCAAAATAATATAAATAAAATAATATTAAATGAAATTTCTTACGCTGGAATTATTAAATGTGGTGTATTTTTAACTTTCAGTAATATGAATACTAGATCTACGGCAATATCTTGTATTATAAAACAGGTCTCAAATATTGCAAAGTTTTTTCCTTTGGGATTTTTTATACGCGCCAAAATATATAATACTATTAAAACTACTAAACCTGCTATAAAAATTATAATTAATGGATAAAATTCTTTGAAATAATCTTTGGTCATTATAAAAGGTGCACTTTCATCAATTAATGATGTATATTCATTAAATGAAAGTGCAGTAAACCTTTTTTGTTTGATCAAGGTATTTAAATTTTCAAATATTGTTTGGGTATTTGGTTCAACTGTATTATCATCTTTAGCTTCATTTATGTTAAATGATAATAATATTTTCTTTGGAGAAGTAGGGTCATACATCCATCTGCCACTTGTTGCCAACCTCTGTTAATTTACTGGAATTATCTTAGAAATTTCTTGAATCATATTCATGAAAAATATTGAATGATTTGCTTGGAGAAATTTCAAACTTCCTTCCTCATTTAGTCGAAGTATTCCTGTAATCGAATCTGAATGTTGTGCCGCTTTAAGTGGTCCTAAATATAGTAATAGAATATAAATTTTTCTATTCAATCATTAAAAAATTTTTTTAAAAAAAATATGTATATTACTTGTTGAAAGCATCCAAAGTTTCTCTTTAATTCCTATTAAAGGTTCATCTCTCTCTTGAGAGATGACAAAATTATTCTCAACCAACACATAATAGGAAGAATTGGGTTGGCTAAATGTGCTTTCAAAAATTGGGATATGCACTGTGTAATTATCATGTCCAACAGTACATAGTTTATAATCTCCTGAAAATGTTTGTCTTAATAGATCCGGTTTATCTGGATCATCACTTAGTTGAAATATCGAAACATTCGCAGTAGATAACTTTACTGGAATGGTATACTTGATCATTATTTCTTTAATTAAAGGATCAATGACTTCATTAATAGCTGGCTTTGTAGTTTCAATTATGGGACAATTATATTCAGTACCTACAGATAAAAAAAAAAATTAAATAAATATGTATATATATATATGCCCTATAAAAAATTTTCAAAAAATGATCCTGTATCTGAATTTCTTTAAAAATTGATCATTTATCAGAGTTTTTTCCAGAATTTTTTTATAGGGATGTGAAGAAAGAAAAGAAATTAAAAGCTTACTATGATTATTTAATCTTGGTAAAGATTTTAATAAAAACTCCAATTTATTGTTACTCTGCTTCTTTATTCCAAAAATAGTATTATTTATACGAAACATATTAAAATGAATAAATTCTGGCCCAAAAGATCCCTGTGATTGCATATAATTACCATCATCATCTAAAAGATAATAATTCATTACACTATTATGACTATGTTGCAAAAGAAATCCTCCATAATTTAAACTTATCAAATCAATGTTTGTATTATTTGTTGGATTAGAAACTATATTTAATCGTACTATAGCCCCAGTTGATAAAAATCTCAACTGATAGTAATTTACCTCAGTCTGTGACTTATTATTCTTCTTATTTATGATTGTATTATTTAATGCCATAATACATACATATCCTTCAGCATTATAAGTCACAGTACATAATTTAATTGTTAGATTATTTAATTTTTCGGTGGTTTGGTAAACCAGAAAAGGTGCCATAGGTGAATCTGCACCTACTCTAAGAAATGATGTATAAACTCTCCAGTATTGAAGATTTGGATCTCTCATTACTGATGATCCTTTTGTTTCATCATATTTTAAAATATACATAAAACCAAAACCTCCATCTGTTAATGAAAAACTTAAACTATCTACCAAGGTATACGATAATAGATTTGGTGCATGAAATTCAACATTTTTATGTTCTATCACTTTTCCCCTTGTAATATCTCTAAAATAAGGTAAAAAAGTTAATTTTCAAAAAAAAAAAAAAAACTAATTGTTATTTGTAAAAATACTCACGAAATGCTAAATAAACGCCATATTGCTATTCCTTCTTTATCTGGTTTTTCAATACTAATAAGTTCTTTACCTGATATGCTAAATCTAACAGATCCATTAGCATTTCCTAAATATATTTCACTAAAAAAATAATATTATTAAATCAATATTATTGATTTCATTAATAAGGATTCCATTGTTTAAACTTACTTTATAGACTCATTGCTGTAATTAATTATTTTGCCATATTTTCCCTTAATACCATTGTTTGATTTAACATAAACTATTATTATATGATTATAAGCTAAGGGTAAAATCTCCATATTAAAGGGACAAATTGCTTCTGCAGGTAGAGTATAATTAAAATCCATATATTTGATTTTTCCTGTTTTATCTATAAATCGTAAATGTAAATGAGGTAATATGCACGCTGGATCTTCATCTTCAAGGATCATCCAAATCGAGAAAGAACCCTCTAAACTAAAGGTGTAAGTATTATAAAATTTTAACCCATTAATCGGTTCTTCATAAATAAATGATATATCTTGAGTTGATATATCTTGATTTTGAGATGTATTTTGGGATAATATATCTCGTGATAATATATTTTGAGAAGAAGATAGTATATTCTGAGATGAAACAAAAGAACAACAGATGGATATTAAACAGATAAAAGTGATCAACACCTTTAAATTGAACATTTTTTACTAAGGCAGAAAATTGTGTTTCAATTGGTAAATGGGAGACTTGAAAAATGATAAATTTTTTACTTGGGAGATAGATTACAAGAACAACAGAACATTTATATATGTTTCTATTCATTATAATCTTGATTTATTTATTAACTATTAATAACTTTTCTTTTTATCAAACGTGTTTCAAAAGAAAAAAAAATTTAAAGCATTTCTATTATTATATTACCAAATTTGTGTTATAAAATTTTGACATTTTGATGTATTATTACTCCTTGTTATCTATGATCATTGGGTGTGAAATGACGCAATAAACAAGCCAATTTGCTGACATTTTGACATATTACTCCTCATCTATTATACCTAGGGATGTGAAACCATTACCATTTGTAAGACAACTCTGAGAAATGGAAGGATAATCATAAAACTTTATGTCTTAATTTAGCGTAAAAAATGATAGAGAGCGATGGTAACACAGCATAAAAATGGAGCAATTTTTAACATGAAACATTCCTATTGTTTAATTGGCATGATCACCGGTTAAACCGATCTATTTTAAGATGACAATAGATGACAATCCGTACGGAGACATGTTACACGTTACAATACACTTAACTTATACAGGGTAATATAAATATATAATAAATTTTTTTATTTCCGTAAATGTATCATATTCACGGAGTTTATAGCCTCAGTCAAACATGAAAATTATCCAAGTCACATAAATTATTTTCTCATAAATGTATCATATTCACGGAGTTTTTCATAAATTAGTACGTTTTACAAGGTTAGTTTAATAGTATTTATATTTAACTTATAATTATGAATAATAGTTAATGGTCCTATTATTACTATTAAAAATTAAAGTAATTAAAGTGATTATAATTACTTTATTATTACTTTCCAAAAAGAATTAATAACTAGTACTATATTTAAAAATTTATAGTATTAATAAATTGAACTGCAATAAATATCAGATGTACTACCACACAATCTCTCACTTTCATGGTTCCAAACTTGTGAAGGAAAATGAAAATGAGAAAAAAGAATATGAAAATGAGGATAAAGAAAGTGGAGAGGAGAATAATTATTCGCTTAACACTACTATGGCTTGTGTGACTTGTAATTATTCTAGTAACATTTCACGAATATGTAAATTCATAGGAAATTCAGATGTACAGTGAATCCTAATACCCGTTTTTTGAAAAAGGAAGAAAAGTGAAATTTTGTAAAAATTATATAACTAATTGGCGCATGGTCTTTGGCCGTTAGATGTTTGTCCATGGCTAAAATGGTCAACTCTAATGCTAGTGTTACGAAAATTATTTTTATATTTTAGATTTTATTTTTTTTATAGTTTATTAGTATATATACATATATTTTTATAGTTTATAGTTTATATATTTTATTGGGAAAAAAACAACGGAAATTGGAAGATTAGATAATAAGTGGCTGGATGATGATCATCGGAGGCTTAGTAGTACAATTTGAACTTCGGACAAGATATCCAAAGGACGATTTGTACCGCGGATTATTTGACCAAAGGACAAGTTGAACTATAGATGAAAATGTACCAAATTATGGAAGATATTTAAAGGAAAGTGGGATGACTGATTTTTGGGGAGTTAGAAATTGTTAACGATTATTAGTATAAGAAAAACCCTTGTAAAGGAATAACGAATATTACAGAGCGCCGAATGAGGCAGTAATATGGTCGATTCCTTGTCGATTGTTGATACTTGTTAATAAAGATACACAATTTATTTCCGATTTCCAATCATTTATCGTTTGTTATTGTTTAATTATATACAGTTTATTAATTTCTGATTTATTAATAAAACACGAATATTTTTAATTTGTGCTGATCATTTACTGATCGTCATATTCATTTTATTTTACATATCTATATCGGATTTTATCCTATACTTACCTGTCAAATTGATATCAATTTCTTACCGATTTATTGCCGAATTTTGTGAATTACCAATATTTTATTTCTGTTACTACCTGACGAATAGTGAACAATCGGTGGTGACACTAGTATGCTGATGATCACTGGTGAGATTTAATCTTTAGCCGCAGCTAAATGCCAAATATCATTTGTATTGAATATAATCAAACACTACTAAATATGTCTCTAAAATTTTGGTTTGGGATATGATCACATTTCATGAAATTGTACATTCAAATCGAAAGTTCCAATTTGAAATTGAAATTCTGGTTTAGGAGTTTTAACTCGAATGTAACGGATAAATTAAAGTGGCGTGTCAATTCGAAAAGGATCATGATCATTAGATCCAGGAGATCTAAATCTTCAGTATATTGGAAAGTGTAATATGTATCTTTCTTGGGAGAAAACACTTGCATTGACCTGTCAGACAACTGAAAAATTAAATAGCAACCTAAGTCATCTAGTTAGTGTGACATCATTGTGACTAATTTTATATATTGTATTTTATCAGATTATTATCAAATAATGTTATTTTCGAACCTTTTTTTTTATCGAGACTTGAATTATTAATTTATTTGTATTAATTTTATTTAATAAATATCGCAATATAAAATTTCATACAATCTTGATTTTTAAAAGCCTTCGCGAACAATTTTATGATCTCATCATAAACATATTAATTAGAAAATTATGGCAAGTTTAATTTTTATCGTTTAGCGTAAAGAATTGTTAGTTACGGTTATTACGGCTATTAGCTTTCTAAAGACTAAATTTTGTTATGATAGGAATTACTGTAATTAATTATCAAGCGGAAGATTGGAAGTCTAAACGCCAAATATTCAAATATCATTAGTCTTTAAACAAAAAAAGCGAATGATACTTTTTGACTTAAAATGAAAGATCAAATTATGGATCCGCACAATTTAGAAAAAACTGTTGTATCTAATAGGAATTTGCATATTGCTAAATATAAAACATTGTTTATTTCTTTAATATCATTCAATTGATTGTATGGTATCCATTCAAATATTATATCATTTGGTTTACGAATATTTTGATTTTTTTCTTGAATTAAATTATCAATGATTTCATTGAAATTTTTGTTTCGATTAGAATATGGTAGTATTTTATATTGCTATTTTATCTGGACACATTCAATTGAAAATTTTATTCAAACCCGTGATTTGGCGAAATATCAGAATGTCATTAAATTACTTTTTTTCTTGGTTGTTAATAATATATAATAATATTTACATTTTGTTGTATATTATCCATTAGCTGCACACATGCTGGATTAACCGTTCTTACTCAGAAAACAACGCTATAAACAAATATTAATATATTATCGAAATTCGAAATGTTATTTAATCTTTTACTATATAGTATATCGTCAAGCTTTTTATATGACGAAAATTAAAAATTGATATTAAGAATAAGTCATACATTAAATAGCGACATAAAAAATTTCCTATAAATGATGCCCATTTTCTAGTTTTTATTCCGAAAAACCAGACCATGTGATAACAAATATTTATAATATTTATCGGGCGTAGGATATCGACAAACTTTACATAACCTTTAGCTTATTTACTTTCGTTTACCGTTCCCTGATCCAATGCTTGAAGGTTTTGGCTATAGAGCATAAAAAAATAATATAGAAAGTTAACCTAAAAAGTGAATAATACGATACTTGAAATGATTATCTATTATCGATGTTGACGTTGGTAAGTAGCAGAATAGTTAATAATGGTCAGTCTTTTTATTTTTAGGCTATACAAAATTACAGATCATCGCATGGAAGGACTAGGATACAAACTTAAGGAAGGCATCAAATCACGGTATAAATTTACCGTAGTAACACCACCAATTTTATAATTAAAATTTCACCCCACGTGACCGGTGACAGTTAAGGGTTGTGAAAAAAATAATTTTGGGAGGCAAAAAAAAAAA